CGAACCTGCGACCTGTCGGTCTTCAGTCCTGCCAGCACAGGGGTTGAACCCACTGCGCCACTGGGGGCTCCTATGTTTTGTGATGTTACTTGGGAACCGCTCTGAGTCCCCTCGGGGAGATGGAGCCGTATATAAATAAAGTTTTATTTATTATTATTTATTATTTATTTGTCAATACTTCTGGCTCCATCAGCAAGTTCCTGAGCTGAGAACGGCAGCCTCTCACCACCAACTCCAGAGACGCTGTCCATCTGGCCCGGGAGAGACGGCGCTGAAGAGCAAGCGTTGGAGGATTAGCTCATGGCCCACGCCAAGATATCATGTGGCGGTTAGGGCTCAATCAAGAGAGAGGGCCACGCTTCTAGCAAAGTCGGGCGTGGGAAACCATTTCCCTGCCCCAGAGGAAGAGCTACCGCCGGCTACGTCGAGGCAGAAAGGCTCCAGCCCTCTCAGAAGGCTCCAGTGTGCTGTTGCCCCCACACAGGCATCCATGAGTCTTAGTCCTCTTGGCCTTTTTCTTTCGCACCAAAGGCGCTTGGGAGCCCGCAGCCATTATTGGTAAGTCCTTCCCCCCGAGGGAGTAGCGGCACCCACTCAAACAAGGCCACCTTCAAGCAGGAAAACCAATTTTTCCTCAATATTGGCATGAACGCCATACATAGAACACGATTGGGACAAATGTCCCTCCCCCAAGAAAAGAAGACAAGGCGAGTCGCCATCATTGTCTGAATAATCGGCTGAGCATGAAGCACAGTGTTTAAGAGCAGAATTAGCTGCCATAAACACCAATGAGACAATCCGAATCCAGTCAATCTAATCAGGGAGTCCGATTAAGCTAGTCACAGAAGTGAAGGTTCGATTAAGTGGCGGATCAAAAGAACTGAGGCAGTGGCCCGCCCACCTGCTACTTATACTCACAAGGGGAGAGTGGGCGGGGCCAACCGCCAAAGTTTTCAAATCTATCTAGAATAGTGGTTCTCAACCTGGGGTCCCCAGATGTTTTCGGCCTCCAACTCCCAGAAATCCTAACAGCTGGTAAACTAGATGGAATTTCTGGGAGTTGTAGGCCAAAAACATCTGGGGACCCCACGTTGAGAACCACTGATCTAAAAGGTTCCGAAGCTGTCTGCTCAGGCGCAGAAACTACCATATGTGCGATTCACAGTTGACCACGATGGGAAAACAGCTTTGGCATGTCTGAGAACAGAAAGTAGCAGGGAAAGGAACCCAGAAACCCTGACTTTCCCAATTTGGATTTAGCTGCCGTTAAGTAAGGCCTCTCTGCGCATCGCGTCACTGCCCTCCCCACAACTCTGGCTGCATTCCCCAGAGCACCAACCGAAATCCTCCTCCTCGTCTTCTCTGAGCAGCAGCAGGTCATCCTCGAGGCTCAGTTCACAGAGGTCCTCGGTGGAATCCTTGGGCTCCGATTTCGCCTTCCCGCCAACTTTCTCCTCCTTGGCCACATTCGGCCCGTCCTGACCCACCGGCTTCTTTTCAGCATCCGCAGCCTCCTCCTCTTTCTATGGGAGTGAAAACCATGTCAGTAGGAGCATGCGCAGGCCATGCAATCTAGAAGAGAACAGAGGCCAGCTGGCCACGCTCATGTCCAGGAAGGAGAGTCACCTGAGCGTCCTTCTGGTCGCTCTCTGCTGCTTCCTCAGACTCGGGTTTCTCCAGAGGGTCTTCTCTGGCTTCGCTTTCTCCCTCCTTCTCGGACTCTGCCGTTTTCTCGGCCTCGGGATTCTTGGCCTCCAGTGGCTCCTCCTTCTCCGGCAGGGCTACCAACGCGCGGTAGAGCTTGTAGCCAAAATCCCGTTGCAGCATCTCCTGGAAGAACTCAGCCACCACGGCCACCTCAGGGCGGAGAGGGGACACAAAGGGACCGGTGACCCAAAGGTAAGGAAAGATGCCCACGTCACTTGCAAAACGACACGCCAGAAGCACAGAGTGCTCACATCTAACAAATTTCAACCTTCCTAAGGGCAAAAACCACAATGATGGGGCCATCTCCATGCAGCCTCCTCTATGCTATGCTGGGACTCCCCTGCCAAATGCAAACTCATTCCTCTTGCCAGTATTTTAATTAGCGGCTGCTTCACCTACATCAGCGTTTCTTAACCTGGGAGGGTCAGGACCCCTGGGGGGAGGGCGTCATGAGGGGTTTCAGGAGGGACACCAAAGACATTCAGGTGCAGAAACTACCATATGTGCAATTCACAGTTGACCACGATGAGAAAACATACATTTCTGATGCTCTTAGGAACCCCCTTCACAGAGAAGGCTGAAGATCTCTCTGCCTGTCCTTCTCTTTTCGGAAACAGCCAGCAAATCCTCCCACCAAAAGCCCTCCTCCGCTGTGATTGGCTGGCCTCTCAGCCAAGGGGAGGGCTCTTTCTGAGACTGCAAGTGGGAAAGGAAGAGCAGGTGTGCTCGGCACATGGCAACATGGTGCGCATGTGCAGGCGAGGGAGAGTGCGCGTGGTTGGAGGGAGGCTTGCACCAGTGAGTCCCTTCAAGGCATGGGGATTCTCTGTGGGAAATTTGGCCTAGTTCTATTGCTGGTGGGGTTTAGAATGCTCTTTGATTGTAGGTGAACTATAAATCACAGCAATTATAACTCCCAAATGTCAAGGTCTATTTTCCCCAAACCCACTAGTGTTCACATTTGGGCAAATTGAGTATCCGTGCCAAGTTTGGTCCAGATCCATCATTGTTTGAGTCCACATTGCTCTCCGAATGTAGGTGAACTACAACTCCCAAAATCAAGGTCAGTGCCCACCAAACCCTTCCAGTATTTTCCGTTGGTCATGGGAGTTCTGTGTGCCAAGTTTGGTTCAATTCCATCATTGGTGGAGTTCAGAACGCCCTTTGATTGTAGGTGAACTAGAAATCCCAGCAACTATAATTCCCAAATGACAAAATCAATCCCCGCAACCTGACCAGTATTCAAATTTGGGCGTATTGGGTATTTGTGCCCAATTTGGTCCAGTGAATAAAAATATATCTCGCATATTGGATATTTACATGACAATTCATAACAGTAGCAAAATCACAGTTGTGAAGTAGCAACGAAAATAACGTGATGGTTGGGGGTCACCACCACAGGAGGAATTATTTATTTATTTAAAATTTTTATATCCTGATATAAACTGTATTCAGGGGTTGCGGCATTAGGAAGGTTGACAACCCCTGACCTAAACTCTCCTAAACTAATTCAGGTAATTTCCACTTATTTTATGAAACTCCCACAGTAAAGATAACTCTTCTGAGACCGTTAAGAAGCCGGTAAGCCATCACTCAATTACTTGAGAGTTAAAAAGAGCAAAGGGGGCAGGAAAAGGGGAAAGAAGAGGTGCACCTTGGAAGTCTACCAGACCGAGGCAGCCTACCTCGAAGGAGAGCTTCTCCCGCTGCCTCCTGTACTCCAGCAAGGTGCAAAGGGAGAGGTTGGCGCAGCTGGGCTGACCCCCCTGCAGTGCTGGCTGTGGGGTTGCAATGATGGCAGGCTCTAGCGGAGGGGAGGTGGCGCTCTCAACACCTGGCTCCGGAACAGGTTCAGCTGCCTCGACTTCCTGTTCACTGGTTTCCATCTCCTGCTTGAGACCTGTTTCAGAAGATTGCTCAGCTTCTTCTTCCTAGGAAGGAACATAACCATTTCAGCACGCACCAAAAGAAGCAAAGTAAGTCAGGGCGGTGCAGCGGTCTGGGTGCTGGACTGCAACCCTAGACCACAGTTCAGCCATGGAAACCCACTGGGTGACTTCCTGTAAGTCATACTCTCTCAGCCTCAGAGGTCAGCAAGGGCAACCCTCCTCTGAATAAACCATGCCAAGAAAACACAACAACATTCTCCTTGGCGTTACCACAAATAACAACTTGAAAGTACACAACAACAAGAGAAACCATCTCTACCTGAGAAGAAGGGCATGTCAGAAATATTAAAAATTAACTCGGCATTTTTAATTACAAAAATGTGAGTCAAGCAGGAGAAGTGATAAACTGATAAAATGACTCCGCCAAAGCGGCAGTTCAATATAAGCAGGTGTGCCTGTAGCTTAGCAGCCCTGAGAGTGAGAGAGGCCTCTCTATGAGAAGTTTCTCTGTGTGTGAGTAGGCCTCAGTATGAGAAGGCCTCAGTGTTAGTTTGCCTTAGTGTGAGAGAGGCCTCAGTCTCTGAGAGCCCTCAGTGTGAGGTAGGCCTCAGTGTGAGGAGGAATGGAGTGAGAAGCCCTAGGTTGAAGGCCATGATTTGTGAAGCTCCAGTGTGAAGGCTGCTGTGCGTAAAACTACGGTGTGAAGCTCCTGTATATATTTGGTGTGAATGGAGCCTCTGTGAGAGCGAAGCTAGAAGCTGTTTATCTGCATGAGAAAGAAGCCCAGTGTTAAAGCAAAGAAGGAAGTATAAAGAACTGTATTTGTGTTATGGAAACCTTGTTATTGTAAATAGTGTAACCATATTACTTTACTACAAAGAAAAGCCTCCTATGGAAGAGACAACGCCTGGCGGGGACAGTACACACTCATAAAGGGAAAGGTTTCCCCTTGACGTTAAGTCTAGTAGTGTCCGACTACTAGACACCTCCTAGGTTATGCGGCCAGCATGACTGCATGGAGCGTCGTTTACCTTCCTGCCTGAGCGGTGCCTATTGATCTACTCACATTTGCATGTTTTCAAACTGCTAGGTTGGCAGAAACTGGGCCTAACAACTCTTTACCTAGAACTCTTTACCTGGGGAGATCAGGAAAGCCCCTTCACTGGAAACATTTAAAAAGGACCTCAAAACCTGGCTTTTCCGCTACGCCTTTAGCGAGTAGGTGCACAGCATGATATTTTATACCCCCTCAACGTTTTCGGCTAATGGAGTTCGTGCCCTCCAAATAGGATGTTCTGTCCCACAACTCTGTGAGTTTTATGAGTTCCATTTAAACTCCCTGCTCCTATTTTATCTCATCACAGTCTGTTAATTGTTTTTTTTTATTCGGAATATGTGGCCCGCCCATTATCATCTCTATTGTGATTGTGTCTATTGGAATGTTTATTTTATTATTATTACTATTATTTTATTATTACTTTTAATGTCATTTTGATAATGTTGTTGTTGTCTGTTGTATATATTTTGATTTTACTGCTGTATTATGTTGTCCGGGCTTGGCCCCATCGGGGAGATGGTGGCGGGGTAGAAATACAGTTTTTTTATTATTATTATTATTATTATTATTATTATTATTATTATTATTATTATTAACAGCAGGAGCTCACCCCGTTCCCCGGATTTGAACCATCGACCTTTCGGTCAGCAAGTTCAGAAACTCAGCGGTTTAACCCGCTGCACCACTGGGGGGTCCAACATACTCATAAGCAAAGACTAATGAATCATTTCAATCTTGAAGCGAAGCGGAATAACATTTCCAAGTGATCCACCTACAGTGATGCAATGACCCCAAAAAGCTGGCATAAGACAGAACCAAGTATCCCTTAACTTGACTCATTCTAGGCATTATATAGCAGGTTGCCAGAATCCACTGAGCCTTCTCTGCTGACCGGAAAGTAGCTTTCCAATTCTCTCCTGTTCTTACCATCCCTGCTGCCTCTTCTTGTGGTGGGGCAGGAGGAGGGGGCGTTTTCTCTGCTTTCTGTTTGCATGAAGCCTCCCATTCCTCCAGAGATGGCATGCAGCTCCAGACATCCGGCAGGAAGACCACGGTCTGCTCCTGATGAGATGGGTTTCCTTCACGCAAGTATCTGAACTCAGCAAACCGGAGCCTGTTGCACAAGGATTGAAGAGAGAATCCGGCAATGAATGTGGCCCTTCCAAAAGGAGGACTGTTTACATTTTGCAGTTCTAGCATTTAGAAGTGCAAACCCACCAGGGTTCTGCTTGAGTTGAGGAACAGACTATATGAACAGCTATTTTTTCATCTGTTCATAGAATCCTAGAATCCTAAGTAGGAAGAGACCTCCTGGGCCAACACCCAGTCCAACCCCATTCTGCCAAGAAGTAGGAATATTGCATTCAAAGCACCCCTGACAGATGGCTATCCAGCCTCTGTTTCAAAGCTTCCAAAGGAGGAGCCTCCAGGGCAGAGAGTTCCACTGCTGAACGGCTCTCACAGTCAGGAAGTTCTTCCTCGTGTTCAGATGGAATCTCCTCTCTTGTAGTTTGAAGCCATTGTTCCCTCATCTCCAGGGAAGCAGAAAACAAACTTGCTCCCTCCTCCTCCCTGTGGCTTCCTCTCACATATTTATCCATGGCTCTCATCATATCTCCTCTCAGCCTTCTCTTCTTCAGGCTAAACATACCCAGCTCTTTAAGCCACTCCTCATAGGGCTTGAGGAGTGGCTCAGACCCTTGATAATTTGAGTCGCCCTCTTTCTCTGGACACATTACAGTGTGTCAACATCTCCCTTCAATTGTGGTGCCCAGAATTGGACACAATGTGATTCCAGGTGTGGTCTAACCAAGGCGGAATAGAGCATGGGGAGCATGACTTCCCTGGACCTAGACACTAGGCTCCTATTGATGCAGGTCAAAATCCCATTTTTATAATATATATTTTTACTAGATTGGATACCCAGCATTGCTTAGCGTAATTTGAAAAAGTCAATTTTTAAATTGTACAAAATACATGAGGTTGCGGGCGAACTACAATTTACATCATGCCAGGTTAACCCCCAAAGACTCCATCAATACTTAAAAGTTTGTTATGTTGGGCAAGTTTGCTGCAGATGCATCACTGGTGGGGTTCAGTGTGTTCTCTGGCTATAGGGTAAACTACAACTCCCACTATGGTGAGTCAGTTGCCTCAAACCCCTCCAGTAGGTCGAGTAGTCATGGGGGTTCTGTGGGCCAAGTTTGGTTCAGGTCCATCATCGGTGGGTGAACTGCAAATGCCTAAAAAGGTCAGTTTCTCCCAAACCCCTCCAGTAAGCAAATTTCAGCATATCAGGCATGTGTGCCAGGGTTGTGTGCCAAGATCCATCGGTGTTTGGCTTCACAGTGCTCTCTGGATGTAGGTGAACTACAACTCCTAAAGGTCAATGCCCACCAAACCCAGTATATTCTATTGGTCATGGGAGTTCTGTGTGCCAAGTTTGGTTCAATTTCATCATTGATGGAGTTCAGAATGCTCTTTGATTTGGAACTATAAATCCCAGCAACTACTACTCCCAAATGACAGAATCAATCCCCTCCCCAACCCCACCAGTATTTAAATTTGGGCGTGTTGGGTTATCAAAGTTATCAACCACACATACGGACTGAGTTGGACATGATTTTATCTTGGTGATTTGGCTTATTTGTAATTTTAAGCGATATGTATTTTAACTCATTATTATGATGTTTTTAGATTGTACAATCAGCATTGAATCCTTGCTGCAAGCCAGTCTGAGTCCCTCTACGTATGGAGGTTGCGAAGATCGGGACATAAAAGATTTAAATAAATAAATAAATTGTGCCTTGTTTGTTTGTTTATTTACAGTATTTCTATCCCGCCTTTCTCACCCTGGGGGAGACTCAAAGCGGTTTACACATAAATAATGGCAAGATTCAATGCCTTACGTTGGGCACCGATACGATGCCAATACAAACAATTACAATAGTAAAACCACAATTAAAGAAATACATCAACAAGCATTAAAATAATAAAACAGTCTGGTCAGTCGAATTGCCGTTCCAGTCACTGTCCCTCTGAAATGCTAGAGACATCTACTGTCCAAAGGCCTGGTCCCAGAACCATGATTTTATTTTATTTTTCTAAAAGCCAGGAGGGAGGGAGCAGATCTTACCTCATTTGGAAGTGTGTTCCATAGGCGGGGGGCCACCGCCAAGAAGACCCTGTCTCTCATCCCCGCCAGACGCATTTGTGCTGTTGACGGGAGCGAGAGCAGGGCCTCCTCAGATGATCTTAGATTATGAGATGGGACATAAAGGTGGATGGGTTCGGACAAGTAAGCTGGGCCAGAACCGTATAGAGATTTATGGGTCAAAACCAGCACTTAGAATTGGGCTCAGAGATGGACCAAATTTGGTCCAGTGAATGAAAGTACATCTTGCATATCAGATGTTTACGTGATGATTCATAACAGCAGCAAAATGACGATTATGAAGAAGCAGCAAAAGTAATGTTATGGTTGGGGGCCACCACAACCTGAGGAACTGTGTTAAGGGGTCTCGGCATGAGGAAGGTTGAGAACCACTCTTCAAGAGGATTCTCAATGTATACAGAAACACATTTCTGGCCCTCACATGCGTTAGGAGTCTGGTTATGCATCCTTGGCAAGTTTCCCTAAACATTGTTAGTGTTGGGGTTCAGCCTGATCTGTGTGAACCTGATTCTCTGATTGTATTTCCAACTGAACAAGCCACTGAACATGTTTCTCTCCCTGAGAGTGTTGAAACTGTTGTTGATGCTGAGGTCAGTGGTGGGGAAAGTGAAACTGAACAGCCGGATGAAAATGTTTTGGAATCCAGCCGTGATAGCTCTCCACCTGGGTTTTTTAATGAGGACCGAAGGGAACAGATAYRMAGAGACAGGAGTGATTCACAGTTRCTACGAAGGTCAAATAGATTACAGGAGAGYCAAGGSVCAGGRTTCAAYGTCAAMYGGCGTTTCWWTGGWWTAAGGGGRRTCRTTCCGGGTYTKWSG